GGAAAACGGGTTTGTCAGAGGGCCAGCAAATTTTTCTTTGTCAGAGGGGTCCGTTGTCTGGTCCGTTGGCTTGGTGGAGACCACGAATCGACGAATGCTCCCACAAAACAGTTCTGCCAAAGTTTTTTGCCTCAACTGCCAAAGAACCCGAACTAGAATAGCTAGACTATCCCATATATGGTACCACCTCGGTGACGGGTCCTAGTTCAGGTCGCTTCTTCCTCTGTTGGAAGAACTCTGGTGTTGGTTGGATGTCTGGTGTTTTCCGTGATCTCCCTTGATAGAGATGAGACCTCCTCCCCCCGAAGGCGGGAACGACGGTCGTCCGCACGCTTCCGACCGGCTCCGTTGTGCGCCGCCAGGACGAGCTGCTGGTGCCCGTGGCCGAGGCCGGACCGAAGAAGTCCCTCAGAGGGACGAACTGCTGTGAGCTTTGCTGGGCTTAAGACCTCATCCGATCCACATATCTGCATTCTGGGACGTAAACATCCTTGTGCAGGTGGAGGGGGCAGATGGGCCTGTCAACTTGGGTTTGCAGGAAAGGACCTCACCATAGCTCACCTCCCTGTGCATCACACGCCTTTTGCTCGACAGGGTGCCTGCCGCTTGAATCTCATGCCGATGCCGCCGGCCGTGAAGGGCCTGCCGCTGCTGTCGGGGCCACCCAGATGGGGCGCCGAAGGTGAGCACAACAAAGCGAAGCCCCTTTATCAGAAGGCGTGGAACCTTCTTCTTCACCTCCAGGGCCCTGTTTTTTTGGCAGATTGAAGCGTCTCCCGTGGCACTTGCCAAGAGGTGGGTGAACTTCAACTTTGGCCCACCAATTGACGACTTCCCGTCCCGTGTGCCAGAAACGGGGGTCCCTTTTGGAGTTCGCACGTCGAGGGGGTGGCTGGGGATGAGGGTGGCTTTGTTGGCTCGGATTGGTCGCTGAGGATCTTGGGCCAGGTCTTCCTGCAAAAGGTCTACACCGTCTTCGACCCCCTGGGCCCTGCCGTGTATCTCGCGCCACCGCGTGAGGCGGCCGCGGCAGAGGCGGTGTGGGGCTTCCATGACCAAGGCCGGCGCGGGGGAAGGCACGGGGCGCACTAGGCCACCAGAGTTCCTTCGAAGCACATGCACTTAGAATCGCTTATGTATTTGATCTTATTCTTGGGAGGGGCACTAAACATATTTCAACGCCTCAGACAGGCCTGCAGAAACGCCTTGATGCAGCCTTAACGGACCACCACGAACCACATCGAACCGCTGGGGCAGGAACATGCACCCTTGAGAAACGGCTCTTCCTGCGGGGCGGGGCGAAGATACTGGTACCATATTTCGGGAGAAAACCCACATAATCCTTTTCAGTAACTCTCTTAGACTCGTTTGCTGCTAGTCACGACTGGCCCACCAAACCGCGAGCCCCACGGTCTTGCGAATGGCAATGGCCAGCCATTGCCATGGCCAATCATCAGCTATCAAACGTGATTCAGCTGGGGTGCCGGGCCAACAATCACATCAATCATTTCGTGGAGCCTTGCGAAAGCAGCAGCCTCTCCCCGAGGCTCAGCTTGGCCTCTCTTGGCCGCCTTGGTTTCCTGCGCAGTTGCAGCTGCCAGCGGCCTCCGCCTGTGCCACGCGTGGTGGACCGCGCGGGCGCAGGCCGACTCCACGCCGGAGAGCTACCGGGCGCTCTGAGGTTCTGCCTGGCAGAACGAGCGACGGAACGAGTGCCTTTGGAGTGATGGATTTGGAACGTCGCTGCGACGGTGCGACGGTGCGATGCGAGGGTTTTCTCCCCATCTAGAAGAACCGCAGATTTCATCTCATGGGAAGTCGGCTGGTGACCCATGGTGGCTGGTCCGCCCAGGATTTTTAGGGCCTCAACAGGAATTTTGGCAGACCTGATATATAGACTATAGAGTTATAGAGAGCGGATAGGATTTGGTGGATTTGGCTCCTCCCAAACGGACGGGCCAGCTCGCACCAGCCCAGTTCCCACCGGTGACCGCAGACGATCCGCGAAGACGAGGACAAGGAGAAAGAATTCCGACCTCAAGCGGAATCTCAAGCAGAGCTGGAAGGAAGACATCAAACCACACCCACTTAGATGCACCGTGCTTGAATCGAATGTCCCAGTTCCTTACAATTGTTATTGTTGTTTCTTCTTTCCAGGCCCTATTGGAGGTTTGTCCTTCAATGGTTCGTCGTCAGCTGAAAACAGACCTCGGAGAAAGGCAAGGGCCAGTGAGTGATTGAAGTTTGATTTATTCTTCCTTTAGGATTTGGAACCGATCAGCATTTCATGCGTTTTCCACACTGAAAGGTGTCTTTTTGGGGTCAATGGGATTCGCATTCTGCTAGATCCCTCAAGCAGATGAGTGAATAAGAAGAGCCAAGAGCCCTTCTTCAAGTCTGTCGCCCCCAAAGTCGTCTCAACGGGGCAAAGGTTTTGGGCACTTGTCCTCCCCTACCACTGTCTTATTCTTAAACGGGCCGAAATCTGCAGATATCACTGCCGGTTTGTGGTTAGATCAATGAGTCCCGGGCCGATCCAGACGCCAAAGACGGGGCAGTCCCGACAAAATGAATGACTCCAGCGTTCGGCCAAATCCGTTGCCTTTCTTGCGGGTTGATGTGTCGGACTCTAGCCGCTGATGGCAGAAAGCTGCCGCTGAAGCGCAAAGCGCGCTGAAAGGGGCACGGTTTCCCTGACCATTGGCGAAGATAAATGATGGCGCGGTGCGACGATGTGCGACGTCAAGCCACTGATGGGCCAAGGGTTTTCAGGCAGCTGGACTGATTTTTTTTGGATCCGAGAGCGCGGGGGTAGAATAGCTAGGTTTTCCCATCTCTTTCTCACTTGGGCTTCCATGCTAGCTAGGCCAACTAGGGCCACCTCTTCTTTGCACCGGGGCTAGAAGCGCGACGTCGCGCGGCCCTGCGCTGCAGGTCTTGGGCGAGCCCTGTGCGGGAAACGGCGCGAACGGCGACCCGCTGGCGGAGTGGATCGAACGCTACGTCTTCGGAGGAGGCGGGTCGGGGAGGCGGGTCCGGTGTGGAGCCCAAACCAATAAGGAGAACTCGGACGGATCGAGGTGGTGTTCCTTCTTCTCCGGGTGTTTTCCAACGGTCAGAACGGACGTGTCGCAAGGTAGATCGTTGACATTCTGGGGATTGGACTGCGGATTGGACCGCTTCGTCGAAGCGGATCATGAAACAAAAGAGCCGTTGTGTTATATTGGTTTTAGCAGTCTCAGGCAAAGTTAGTCTTCGGATGTGTCTTTTTTTTCTTGTTCTTCTCCTTCTTTTGGGCACGCCAACGCAGGCGTGCCCCCTTCTTTGTTGGACAGCTGCCATCTTATAAGAGTCTTATAACTTATAACTTATACCTGATGCTGATTGAACCATCCATCCTTGGGTCCTTCCCAGGTCTGTCAGTTTTGGGAGACACGTGTGTTGAGTTTGGCAGCTCGTTTTCCCAGCGTGGCCGACTTTGGGGGCGGAGCACCCGCAGATCGCATGCGACGCACCACGCGGTGCTGCGTGCGTCGTGCCGCGGGAGGGGCTTATGAATTGCCAGACTTCTGGAGCGGATCTGGACAGGACTGGCGAACGGACAGCCCCCGTTTGGAGGGTTGGAGCGGTGTTCGGAGCGGTGAGTTCAGCTGAAACACGGTTTGGTCGTAGGGCAGATCGGGGCCAAATGTGGCGGGTGAACGGTGTATTGGAGATTGTCGGAGTGGTCTCAGGGAGTAGATGGCACAACCCCCGAAGATGTTGGTCCATATACACCTACCTCTGAAAGCACTGGAGCGTCCCTCAGCCGGTGGGCTTAGATTTTGGGAACTCGTGGCATCGGGACGTTGGCTCGCAGAGGATGTGCCGACATGGTCTCTGATCGCGGCACTGAAGAATCTACCCGGCAGGTGTGGGTCGGAGAGAAGACGGCGCAAACCCAAGTTCTGGGGAAAAAATGGGAAGACGGGAGAGAGAAAGACCTTGATTGGGACGTGTCAAAGACCTATTTTCACACATTCCAAGTTCAAGTCTTTGATTCACGCCCCAGGCGCGGGGGCCGTAGTTTTGACCCCACCACCACCCCTTTCAGAACCGATCCCCAATCCCTGCTAGCTGCTAGGCTGTCCTTTTTCGGAGCAACGCCAGGCCGCTCCAGAGCGACTGCGACTTGGTGGTCTGTGCTCATCCAGCCGCGCTGTGCTTGCTCTCCTTCTGGGCCTTCGGGCGGGTTCGGCCCAGTCTGTGCGGCGTCCGAATGGCTCAGTTTTCCAACATCCTGGAGAGGAAGGCGAAGTGGGGACGACCCCAGAAATTAGACGATGCGTTTTCGATGAAACAACCCACAAATTGGGAGAAGTCTCGACTTCTTGTGGCTTCTGCACACGCGTCAGCGGTTTCCTTCGTCCGTGCGTCGCTCGTTCACTTGCTTCGCTGATTCACTGAGCGACGGCTCTCAGGTTTTCGGGCGAGCTCCGTGACGCTGGCGCATGTTGAGCCATTACTCATGTGGACTGAGGGAATGGGTGACAGCGAGGAAGAGACAGCCTGCAGGTTCACGAGCCAAGCACGAAGCTTCACCAAGATCCTGTTGGTTTTCGATGGTTTGTGTTCAGCATCTGCATCAATGACGATACACCTTCAAAGTTCGACCATCTTCCGATACTATACGGACCGGGCCATCCAAAACGCCTATGATTAAGACACATATCTGGCAATAATTTGGGGTTGACTACGGCCTCATCCCGGTCGTCCATGCATCACAGCAAAGGTCGTCCAAGAGGCGCGAGGGGGAAGCTTCGCAGCCAGGTCCGCTGCCCATGCTGCTGCACCTCTCCTCCACGCGTTTTGTATTGCAATTGGAGTTGCCTACAGTGCCATGGGGCGGTTCAAGCTGCTCAAGCGAGGGCACAGCCAGCATGGCCCCCACCAGCCAGCATGGTCCTCCACATGACTCGGAGACCCTGAACTGAACGGACTCAGCTCCAAAAAGGATCTCAATGTCACGGGGCTGGAGAGACACGAAGCTCCAGCAGCTTCCTAAGAGGTTATTGATTGGTTCCATGTGCCAAGTTGTGTTTACTGTTAACACGACATGGCCATTTCCAAGGCTCCTGTATGGCGCTCCAGCCCCTGCCATGAACTTCTTGCGGTTCGCCAGGCGCCCTCACAGAGTGCTTGTGTGGTTCTCTTCGGTTCTCTTTGGTGGATGGCCCGAAGGGGGGCCGAGGCACAGGAACCTTCCCAGTCGAGGCCTAAAGTCCAACCTGAACAAAAACATGTTTGCTTCATTTTTGGTCCACAAGTAGCCCGAAAAAAGGCTCCTATTGCCTCTATTATTGTTTTTCCATGAGTCCGCGGTGGTCCTGGTTCCCGTTTATGTCCATCACGTTCGACCAGCCAGACCGGCGCCTTGAGCCTCGCGTGCGACGTGCCAGGGACTTGATGGGTGGCCCCTTGCCCTTGGTGGCGCTCACCGAGGTCCTTCGGCTTCGGCTTGTGGGGCCAGGTGAAAAATGAAGAGCTGTGGGGGTTGGAGAGGAAAGATGGCAGAATGGGAGGAACAGTTGATCATGTTTCTTTCCTTCTTTTGTTTGGGGTTTGGAAGAGTCAAGGGTGTGAAAGGAAACCTCACATGTTGGAAGTGGTCAACTATGTTTCGTCACTTGCACAGCGAAGTAGTTGTCCAATGTGCCAGGGTGCAGTGCTCTCAGCGCAATTGGGGCAGCAACTGGGGCTCCAAGTCCCTAGCTGCCCGGCGCTGGCGCTTTACCTGGACACCACAGGCGGAACCGGTGGCACATGGGCCCCGTGGTCGGATCGTGGGGAGAGCTATTTTTTTCTTGGAGTCTTCCCTACTGAGGACCCAACCTCGCAGAAAAGCTGTACTGAACGTGAAGAATTTGCCACCACTGGACGCATTCTCTCTCCAGGCTACCTGAACGTGGCAGAGCGGCTGCCCACGGTCTTGGTCACCCGCGCGCGGATCTTCAACCACCCCACAGGCACATCGCACGAGTTGCGGCAGCCCGAGGTGCAGAGATGCATCAGAGACATCCACTACTCACTAGCTTGTTCAATAGCTTTGCATCCCAGAAGCATCCCGGTCTAGTTCGTAAACTAGCTCACCTGCTAGTTCATTCACTTGGACTATCCAATTCATGATTTCACCCTCAAGGATCTCTTTTTGCAGTGCCACCAGCTTCTCCGCCAGTCGCCACCCGCGGCGCTCGCTCGCTTCGTCGCGTCCCAGTGCCAGCCCCCCGCGCCGCTCGGCTCGATCGCGAGGGATCTTCCTCCGATCTTTGCTGCAAGAGTTCGCCATCATCAACCAGCCGCTGGCCGATGCTCGCACGGGTCCCCTCCAGCGATGACTGGTCTGACTCGGTCGATCAAAGACGGGAGTCGACTCCCGTCTGAAGATTTGTGCGTGCGAAGACGTGCATTGGTTTGTTTCACACCGGCCAATTGAACCTAGTGGTTGGGGTTCTCCCCGTGAACATTTCACACCCAGCGTGGTTCTTGGATGTTCTTGGTTCTTCCAACAGATCCCATGAAGCCAACGGCAATGGGCCGTTTCCAGCCCAAAAAACCCGTCCCCTGGGTGTTCGAAGCAAGGCCCATCCGGCCACATCCGGCCACTTCCGCCTCGGTGGCCTCACCGAGGCGGCCACTTTTGGTTCTCAGAGGTGCCCACGGAGGTGCCCCCCCACGGGAGGTGCGGGAGGTGTGCCAGACAGGTCCGTGGAGACCTCCAACCTCCCCAGCAGGTGGAAGAACCCGAACTAGACTATCTCCCAGTGACGGGTACCCGAGGTGACCGATCCCAAAGATGAGAAGTTAACGCCCAAAGCAAGAGGGGCGCCCGGCGATCGTGGCCGCCGCCGGGATCGCGAAGCACCCGAGAAGGCGGTCAGAGTGGTTCAAGTCCACTGACCCCATGGGACCATGGCTTCCCACCGACCATGGCTTCCCACCATGGCTTGTGGCTTCGCTTCCAGTCTTCGGCCGGGCCCTTGGCTTCCCCACGTTGGCGCGCAGGAAGGGAATGAGAACTGGAAGAGCTGGGAGGTGCTGGTCGGGCCGGACGAAGGCATCGACGCCCGCATGCAGGCTCTCGATTTTTCGTCATGGCGTCCAGCAAAAGCATGTCAAGTGGTGGGGGTGTGTTCTTTAAAGCAATCCATCTGACAGTGTCTTAGCAAGCTCTTTGTGCCGCCCTTAGGGGTTTTGTTCGGATTGAATTGGAGAATGCGGTCTCATGATTAGTTGGTTCCTGTCACAGATGGCCGGCCCTGGTGCAGTGTGCGAACCTCCTGTAGGATTTGAGAGTGAATGATCTCAACAGTCAGGCCTGGTGACAGTTGCGCTCCACCTGTTATTTGGACTTGGGATGAGCTATTGGTGCCCTCTTCTTCCGGGGTCTTGCCAGGGGGTGAACGAACTAGATCCGCTGGAGGAGATGTCACGCTGCTCCGCCGCCTTCTTCGTACCCTCGGATGCTCGGCTGTTAGTGGGGTTGGCAGAATCCAGAGTTGACCAGATTCACAGCCATGTATATATGTATATAATTACCAAACTACGCCCGCAGAAGTCCAGATTGAACTAAATATTAGGCACCACCGAAGTGGTGCAGAAATTCTTCTTCGGGTGACCCAAAAAAAACAAGCCTCTTGATGGTCTTTGACTTTTAGGGGATGGTCTTTATCCCTTCTTCAGTTGCGCCTAACTTGCCAGCTTAACTTTCCAGCTCGATCTGGCCAATCGGAGTCTCTTCGGGCCCGTTCGGCCATCTCTTTGGCCCAGCTTCACGTGGGCTGAGGGTGATGGATGTAGGGTGTCAGGAGCGCCCGGAGGTGGAGCACGAAAGGCCAAACCCACGGTGGAGGTGGTGGAGATGTTGGCTGTGTGGGCGCCAGGTGCTCAAGCCGTCGCCCCCGTTTCATTCAGCCGAAGCGACCTGGTCGAATGGGCCAAGGACATCCATCAGCGAAGCTTCATCGAACTCTACCGCATGCAGGTGAAGCCGCGTTGTGTATTTTTTTACCGTGAACTCACCGTGGCGTTGCTGCCTGGTCTTCCAGGTGCAACAAGAGTGGGGATGTCCCAGAAAGGTTTCAGGGATGCTTGAAGGCCTTTGATCTACAATCTACATGCACCACTTGGTTTGGGTTTTGGACGGTGCACCTTCGTTTTTTTGAGATTGCAAGTATAGAACCTTCACTCCTCTTTCTGCACGCTAACGCCCAAGTGGTGCGTTGAGGTTCCCACCTTCATGCCGGCCGTGGAGTGGCTGCTCCGTTGGCCGCTCTCCGCTCCCTTTGGTGTGGACCCCGGAGCCCGGAGCGGTCGAAGTTCACGTGTTTGAGCGGGTGGATCCTCTGAATTGGCCCTCCTCAAACTGAAGAACCTAACGACCTGGCAGTGGACTATGGACTACAGGGGCACTAACTGGGGGTCAGGGCTGGGCACTATCCATGTGGTCACTGTGGGAAAGCTCTGGGTCAAGGGGGTTGCCTCAAGGTGCCTTCAGCTACCCAGGGGAGTTGCCGGACGAGGCGAAGTGGGCGAGCCGACGAGACCGAGCGGGGCACATGAGACCTGGACGTTGAAGATGACGCGTCGCTGGGATCGAGGACATTCGTTTCGACCGAGCCACGGAGGGGAGAGAGAGATATTTGTTGGGCTCGATGAGATGAGATGTGCACTCCTTGAGTATCCTTAAGAATTCTTCGGAACATGGTCCTCCTAGTGGACTGGCTTGGGGCCATGCCGTCCACGTAACCATCAATCATTTCAGTGAGAGTGTGTCATGTCTGGTCTCGAACCACGCCTTCACTGAGCGGTGCCCGTCCGTGTCACGAAGCCACGACCGGCCGGAGGATTTCTCGAGAGCTCATGCAATGCAACTCCAGAGGATTCCCTAAAAAGGTCAGGAACTGACCTCACTGTAGTTGATCGCGCGAAAATGATGCGGCTCCATGTTCCGGTTTTCGGGACCCGGTTTGATTGGACCTGGCTCGGATTTACTGGAGATCTGACATGATTTGGAGTTGATTGGCTCGAAAGTCCTGCTTCTTCCGCCAGGAGAAGGGTCTGAAGGCCCCGAGCTCGGGACTCAGAGGCTCAACTGGTTCTCCCGGGTCGCCCCGGAGAGCTAGACTTGTTTGTAGGTTACATGGCTACATGTATGAAGAGGTGGATCCACCATCTGGGGTTAGAGGGTCAGCTGTCGGAGCAACCGCTTCTTTTGTTTGTTCTTCCGAATTCCTACTTGCAAGCCATATTGGGCTCTCAGAAGTTGCATGGTATGAGATGGATGTGGCATGATGCAGCTGTGCCAAAGCCTCAAAGATCCTTTTCGACCAAACCCTGTATAGACCCCACTTGGTTGAATGGGGTGCAGGTTCCATAGAACGCAGGACATTTTGCAATCCTTGCGTGCAGAAGGTCAGGGCAGACCGTCCCCAAAGACAGCTATCAGTTTGAGACTTACACCATCAACCCGGTTCTCAGACACCTCATCCAGAAATCCTGATCCGATGGGGATCAGGTGTTTTGGAAGGTTTTTTTGGGTGGCAGATTCACTCCCCCCCCCTAAGGTGATCTTTCAGTGTCTTGAAGTGTCAATGACAGAACGAAGACGTGCAGTCACGTCTTCATCCATGACCCACCTTCCAGCACCATGACGGACCACTTCACCCACCATGACGGACCACTTCACGTCCTGCTTCACTTCGCGACGTCTCTGAAGCGATGGTCCATGGGTCCGAGCCCGGCTCGGTGCCATGGAGTCCAAGCGCGTGGGGCCCTCCTTGCAGGACGCTCCGGCCGCCGCCGCCTCCCTCGCACCTGCGGAGGGAGGGAGGGACCAAAAGCGAATGAGACCGGGAGTCTGACGAGACCGGATGCCGTGGCACGCCGTGGGCTTGGTCGGGAGTTGTGGCGCTTTCAGAAAGGGATCCTGTCACCTGTCTGCGTGCTTTGGGACCCTCAGTTCGGAACTTGCATTTTGACACCTGAAAGTCATAATCCACCACCACCATTGGGACATCAAGTGAGTCATGCGGATTACTTCAGGGGTTAGCCGTTAGTCTTTCTTAGGCCAGGCCCTCCGTCATCCCCTTCACCGGCGCAGGAGGCCTTGCAGGACGTGCTCCTCCGCTGTGCCGCGCACGGCGCGCATGCGTCGTCGCGGACCACGGACCGGGAGCTGCGAGCGCTGCTGGCGGCTCGGTGCGTGGAGCCAAAGGGAGCAAGGGGGGAAGCAGTAGTTACTAGTAGCTACTATAGTAGCACTAGTAGCAGGAAGCTACTAGTAGCTAAGGACGGTCCTTTTTCTTGGGGGTTTGGAGAGTGAGGTGGCTGGAGCCCAGTGCCTTTCACGTATTCCGAGTGTGTGCAGCTGCGGAACAGCTGTGAGACAGCTAGACTCTGTTCAACCGTCCATCCAACCCTCCGTGGTCGATGGGATGAAAGGAGACAGAAAACCATGGATGTTCATAAAACCTTGTTGCCACTGATCATGCGAATTGGAGAGGTTGAGCGCGTTGAACTGTCGGCTCCAGTTGACCTGCACGACGGTTCCAAACCCGGAACGGCCACAAAATGGAACGAGCAGCTCCGGAAACGAACCGAAGTCGTGATAGAAGTGGGGCTGGCAGATGCCGGTTGAAGCAGGTCAATTCAATGGACATCCCCTAGGTCGAAGGGCTCGAGAGAGTTGGTAGCTGCTGGAAAACCACAAACGTGCTAGTCCTATAAGTGCCCTTTGCTTTAGCAGAGGCTTGCATTGGGCATCATCCACCATTGCAGGGTGCTGCTGATTGGGTGAGGAAGGGAAGCTTCAACATATCCACACCCTGACTCACTAACAGTCACTAACATGGAAGTGGAAAATGATCCCTTGGCCATGTACTTTCCTCTTCACACTAGTTTTTCCACTTCCATGTGATGTGTTTGTCGGAATGTGAAAGAGACCTCTTTCTGATATGCATGGACCCTCCAAAGACGGTTCCATTTGGTCAACTCTCTGGGGCACAAGGAACGAAGACATTTCTCAACGAAGCTCCAGAAGGTTCCCGGAGTCTTCAACCACCCTTAGCCTTAGCTTCAATGGTTTTCATCAGTTTTCCCATGTTTCTGCCTTCCATTTGTGACCTCCCACCCTCACCCCTTCAGCTCACCACGCATGTTGCACACTGAGGGCTCTGACCCCACAGCTAGCGCCCCAGCGCTCCGCGCCGCGGTCGTTCAGCTGGCATTGCACGAGCCGTCGCCTGGTTGAATGGGACGGTGCTTGGGGGTCAGAGATGGTGCTGGGTTTGTTTCCCTTCTGCCTGGGAGGTCGTTTTAATGCACACCCATTGCCCATTTAGTCAGATGGAGATCCTTGACGTGAGACAGACGCCCCGCCAGGTCTTGCAGCCTGGCAGAGCTCGTGGGGGTGCTGACCGGCGCCTGCGACGAGCAGACGTGGCGGAGTTTGGGGCCCACGTTGGCCACGTGCCTGGCGGAGGAGTGGGTGGCGATGACTAAAGCACCGCAGATGCCGGGGCTTTCCTTCTAAAGAGGTGCTGAAAAATTGCAGTTTTGGATCACGCGGCGCAGTTTTGATTCTTGTTGTGAGTTATGTAATGTCATGGCCAACTGTGCATGCTCCTTTTGGAGTCATGACGGTCGCTGGTTGCTGACCAGCGCCGCATGGCAGGAGCTCTTGCTGGTGGACACGCCGCCTCCAAGGTTGCTACATCTACTGCAGCTCATGTTGGAGCTGGACTGGGTCCAGGCGGAGGGTTTTTCTGGTTGCAAGCTGCGGCACGGTGAAAGCTCTTAGAGGTTTTGATTTCCTTCTTCTAATTGAGCTGCGCCGGTCTTTTTATTCTCCTCTGGGGATGACCGCCGAAGCTTGTTGAGTGCGACTTGGTGCGCGATAAATCCGCTCTTTTTTGATCATGAGGAAAAACCGCCCGGCCTCTTTTCCTTTCAGGTTTTCTCGTTTTGAAACCCCCCTTCATCCCTCATCCCTCACGAACCGACGGTCAATCGAACAGCGGAACCCCGCACGCGGAGTCTTCGCGTCCCGCGCTCCGCCCGCGATCCGCGGAGGCCCCTGGCGTGGTGGCCATGGTCGAAGAGTTGGTGACCTCGTGGCTCGAAGAGGCGCCCCCTTCGGGCGCGCCGTTGGGCGGTCCGGTCCGATCCAAACATGGACGGTTTTTGGGTTTGGTGGTGCGGGGGGGAGGATTCGGGTGGTTTGGGTGGGTAGATGGAAGAAGTGGAGCCTCAATTCTCGTTTTTTGGGGGGGTTGATTTTTTTTTGTAGTTTTCCCAGATTCTTTCTCATGTCAAATGCCCCGGCAAATCCCAGTGACCGCCCTGCATGGAACGTCCCTTTCAGTCTTAGTGGAGTCTTAGCGGTTTCGTCGCATTGAGTTTGAGCTCGGCCCAGGGCCACGAGGGAGTCCCGGCAACCTTGGCGCTGCTGGAGTGCACTCTTCGAAAGCAGCCGAGGCGCGGCGTGGCGGCTGTTTGTTGTCGCGGCAACCCAAACGTGGCGCTTGGTCATAACTGTTGGAAGAGTATGCGACAAGGGTTGCAGCGTTCCTGGATGTCCCTGATGCAAATGCTTGGAGGGAATTTAGGTGAGGGGAACTGATTCGTTGAAGTAGTGGAACTGCCGGAGAACACCTCGACCCTTACCTTTCCTTTTATTTTTCCTGTTCTTTTGCAGTGCTGCACTTGGCGGGGGGGCCCTCACAAAAATTGGATTGAGGTCTAGAATTCCACAGGTGGCAGGATCATGTGTTTTTTTATAAATGTGTTTTTGCTCCAGCTTGAACCCCCATCAACTAAATCCTTAAAGCCCTTGTCATGGCTAGCCTGGATCTGCCATAGACAGCATCCTGCACCATGGGACTCTCGAGAACACCGACTTCTTGGATGGGGGAACCACCGAAGTGTCATGTCGCCGTGCAACCGGCCGAAGTCCTCCTCAGGTCCCTACGCCTGGCCGGGGCGCCTCAACTCTCTCGTCTTCTAGCGCCTCTGTCGTTGCAGACGACACGTTGTCAGACGGCACGTGCCCAACCTCGCGGGCCGGTCCCGCCTCCGGGTAGTAGCAGCAGTAGCAGCAGCAGTCGTCGTGGTCGTAAACGGAAGTCTCCAAAGAAAAGCAGGTTGTTTGACAAAACGCTTTCATACTTCAAAGCTATGACGAGACACCAGGGGGCACCTGTGAACGTTTTGGTGATTTCCACCCTCTTGCTGAGGTGGACCGCCATATGGCGGTGAAGGACGCATTCCCCGCCTTGGCTGAGGTTGGGCTTTGAACTGAGCGGAAGACATTATTAATTACGTGCATTGGTGAGAGACCTGAGATCCTTCCAGAATAAACCTCAACTAAGACGAAAAGAACGACAACTGCAAGTTTGGACACCACAAGATCCTTTGGACAACAATTCCTGCTGGTGGAGGCAAGGTGCGAATCCCCCTCTTCCATGAAGGGATGTCTAAAGAGGTTCCAGCTCTTGACCCCTCATCCAGGAGGGCGGGTGGGTCAAGACCCCCCACAAAGTCT